ATTGTTGTCAAATAATAAATATTTATTACAAAACTCTTGACAGAGAAATGTGATGCTAGAAAGAAAAGAAAGGAAACTAAGATTTGACCATTTTTTAGAGGTTGGACTTGGCAAAACTTGAAATTGCTTTCTAGGGACAGCAGCATTATAACTGCAGATGGATTTTACACTCCGTTCCAGAAGCTCATGGGTAGCTCATGGAGAGCATTTTGGAAGTATCATAGGATAAATTAGAAAGGCTCAGTACTGTTTCATCATTTTTTTATGTCTGTTTTCTATTAATTTTACTATTTTAAAATATTTTTTTGTAATCGAAATGCCTGTTAATTTCTTTAGCCTATTACTTACCATTACTGTTTACTCATCTCAAAATGTGTACGACTTTTGGTTCAATTTTAACTGCACTGAAGTGTTAATAGAAAATAAAATTGTGGGGCCTGGATTTATTTTTGATTCCATGATTAAATAGTGCTTATCACTAAAGGTGTGTCTTTCACTTATCTGGCTAGGAAACAGTGCAATAAATTCCTTTACATACATCAAGAACGATAGTGGAGTTCTATTTTCCTTTCTTTTCCTGAAGTGAAAAAGGAACTGAGGAAATCTTCTATGTTGGACTGAAAATTTTGGTTCATGATCTCAAGTTTTATAAAGTAGGATTATGGAAAGAGATCTGTGTTTCAGCTCGTTATTAAATAATTCTGAATTCAGATCCAGGTTCACATAACACATCTCTCTGTACTCTCCCCAGTTTTCAGCCAGGAGTGATTTGAAATTGAAACAAGACATATACTTGAATATATGTGAGTTTTATAAATTCCTAGTGTGCCTGTGCTGCCTATTTCTGAATTATTCTGGAAGATCCCATTTATTCTCCACATCCTCAGGTGGCTGTTAGGAATCTCATGGACAGAAGCAAATGCTCACCAGAAGACATAGATGAGAAGACTTTAAATGACAAATTCTGTATTTGAAAACCAGCAACTTTTTCTTGGTTTATTCATCACAAAGATCCTTAGTTGCCTGTCAGCCATCAAAGGACATTGTTAGCATGCATTGTTCCAGCTCTGTCAGTTCTATCAGCATAAAAGATTGGTTGGCAGGGCTTTGTTGCTGTCAGGAAGCCCATAGGACTTGAAGAGACTTAACAGGTCATGAAGTGCTCCCGAGGCACTGCTTCATATCCCTGTCATAAATATTTTAATCTGAATCCTAAAAACAAAGATTAACTTTTTAGCTTTGCCTGTTTTGAGTTGAAGGCTCTTTCACAGTCTCACTTTACTGATAGTTATGAACTTTAAAATTTCCAGCCAAAATGTCTTCATTGCTGCAAATCTGTTCTTCTGCAGTGTTGTCAGTTTGAGAAGTTCTTCTCTTTCTTCCTGCTTCATTCTCTCATTTCCTCTCTCCCCATTCACTTACACACAAAGACACTGTCAGCCTTCATTTTTGCCAGATTCACTGAGCTAATGTTTTTCTAGTGCCATCTCAGATGAGCACTCCAGTCTCCTCACCAGCATACAGCCCCTCTCTTGCAGTTTGGGTTCATAAGTGACCTGTACAGTACATGGTCTCACAGATGAAACCTTGCTGGTGTCTTGTGCAGAAACACCCAGGTGTCCCTGGTTTTACCAGGTGTATGTGGTGGTGAACTGTACAACTGGGTCTGTCACTGTCTTGACTACCTCACCTTGTGGGTCAATCTAAGTGAGATACTAATATCAGGTGCACCCAGGAAGTGTCTTCTTTCCAATAACTGTTTCTCCTTTTGTCTTACAGATTCTGTGCTTATCCTTATTTTCTTCATTACCAGTAACCATTTAGCATTGTTCAAAGCTTTACAGAGATCTGAAGAGATGAGTTCAAATTTATATCAGACTTCTAAAAAAAAAATCAAAGAAGGATGTCATGTATGTCTGGCATGACATCCATGTTTTCTTTTACCCCATTTTCCAAGACTTTAATTCATAGAATAATAGAATATATTGAGTTGGGAGGAACTCATAAGGATCACAGAGTCCAGCTCCTGGCCCTGCACAGGACAGCCTGAGGATCACACCCTGTGCCTGAGAGTGTTGCTCAAATGCTTCTTGAACTCTGTCAGGCTGGTGCTGTGACCACTTCCCTGGGAAGCCTCTTCCAATGCCCAAGCACACTCCAGGTGAAGAGTTTTGTTACAGTATCTGACCTAAACCTGTCCTGCTACAACGTGAGCCATTCCATCCTATCACTGGTTGCCAGAGGGAAGAGATTGGTGCCAGCCCCTCCTCCTCCGCTCATGAGGAAGTTATAGTCTGCAATGAAGTCCCCCCTCAGTCTCTTCTTCTCCAGACTGAACAGTCCAAGTGACCTCAGTTGCTCCTCATACGTAGTCCTCTGAAGATGCTTCATAATCTTTTTGGACACTCTCTTACAGCTTTGTATGCTTCTTACACTGTGGCTCTCAGAACTGCCCCCAGCACTGGAGTGAGGCCACTCCAGCTCAGAGCAGAGGGGACAATCCCCTCCCTTGCCTGGCTGTGATACTGTGCCTGATGCACCCCAGGACACAGGTGGCCCTCCTGGCTGCCAGGGCACTGCTGACTCTGTTCAGCTTGCCATGGACCAGGAGCCCCAGGTGCTTTTCCGCAGCGCTGCTCTCCAGACTCTCGTTCCCCAGTCTGCCCTTCCATCCAGCATTGCCCCATCCTGGGCACAGAACCCAGCACTTGCTGTTGTTAAACTTGGTGATTGTCCAGTCCCTTAAATTTTCAATGTTTCTCTGCAGGACCTCCCTGTCTCGGAGTGAGTCAACAGCTCCTCACAAGTTAGTATCATCAGCAAATTTACTTATTTTACTTATCTGAGTCCTGTGTCCAACTTGTGTTATTCCTTACTTCAAATTTTCTTCTAAAGCCTTGCATATTACTATCAGGTTACAGGCATCCACTCACTAGTTTACTTTTTTTTTTTCTCTTCTTTTAGGGGGCCTAAGTTTGCTGCTTCTCAGTTATGTTGCATCATCTTCAAGTTCATAGGAAAGTGACAAATAAGCTCTCAGACTTAAATTCACATGCTGTTTCTTAGAATGGTTTCCTGATAGTGATTATCTATTTCTGCTGAATGTGCTGAATTCCTGGAGTTTTCATTCCACTCAGTTGTTATTTCTATATCAATGTGAAATGGATAAATTCCCTTTACCTGCCTTTTCTTCTTTTTCAGTTTTGTCCTACTTGTGGAATTTTTTTTCCACTGATATCTAGGAATATATTTAATCACTATCCCAATGTAATTTCATTATAAATTCAACTTTTATTTACTTTTTGCTATTGTTAATTGTATTTCCGGAGACAACATTACCTGATTTTTGGTAATCCTTGATTTATACTTCCACTTCCTGGCTTTCAAAATAACTTTTTCTTTTTTTAATATGTATTTCCTTACATGCTTTGTAAGTTCCTTGTCTATATGTAAGAACCTGCTCTATGTTGACTGTTCTAGTTAGAGGATAGTTTGCAATGAACTTTTACAGTTTTTTGATTTTGCTTGAAAAACAAATGTAAATACATATTTACTTCTTTTTTAATGTTATGTTAAATACTGTAGTTTGATGTTATAAAAAGAATTCTCTGTACTCTATCTGGTTGTGAAATGGGCAGTTGTGCTTTAAAGGTTCATTTCTCACTGGGCAAACATTCAAAATAAAGCAATATCGTTGAATATTCTGAGCTGTTTCCATTTCACTGAAAAGGAAGCTAATTTGGCGTCTCAGATGTAGCTGTGCCTTTCAGAGGGGCCTGTGAGGTGCTGCTGAAAGGAAGTGTTTTATTATAGTTTTTCATTGCTATGCATAGCTGTGCACATACTGTAACTGAATAAAAATGCAGTAATAGAATGTGCATAGAGTTATTTGAATGTCTATCCATGTGCATGCATGCGTAGTGCACATGCATGTATAGGTTCGTATTTATGTGCATAGTAGTGCCTGGAATGCCAAAATTTGACTTTAGATGTCAGAATTGTGAGTGATTCACTTCAGGCCTTTCCAATTAAACAGCCAGCTGTTGTGGGAAACTACCTGAGTGTTTGCACCATTTTTCCACTCCATCCTCTCTCTTGTATTTTTACAGCTGAGGGAGTGTGTGAAGCACCTGGAGGCAACTCCTCTTCACTCTGCTTTCTTCCTGGCAGTCTTCCTCCTGCTGTCTCTGTGGTGACCAGAGACAGGACCTGAGGAAATGGCCTGAAGTTGTGTCAGGGGAGGTTTAAGTTAACTATTGGAATAATGCTCTTCATGCAGAGGGTGTTTGGGCACTGGAACAGGCTCCCCAGGGCTGTGGTCACAGCATCAAGCTCCTTCAAGAAGTGTTTAGGAAAATGCCCTCAGGTACATGGTGTAACTCCTGGGGATGGTCCTGTGCAGAGCTGGGAGTTGGATTAGATGAATCCTGTGCATCTCGTCCAGTTCAGCTTATTCTGTGATTCTGTGATAATCACAGGCAAGGGAATTCAGGTTTTGTTAGAGTGCATCAGGCATGTGGGATGTGACTTGCCCCTCTTTTCTCCAGAAGATAATCCCACAGAGAATGGTAATTAACATGGAAGAGGGGAAAGTGCTACTACAGCTACTACAGTTTTCCTACTTGGAGTATTCACAGTATCATATACCTGTATATGGCAGTAGCAGTTTTATTCAAAATCATCTTAGAGTGCAAAAGCCTGAACCAGCAGGAATGGTTAAGCTTAACAGGATGCCAATAAGACAAGCAAAATGTACTGCTTTCATGAGGGTGTTTTTTTAGGACCTGTAAATCCTTTTAAAATTGCAGCGTGATCTATATATGTGTATCAGAATATCTTAACTACTTAGAAATGACAGGGCTAGATCAGTAACTTCATGTTATTTCTGAAGTATGCTTTATTACTTCTGAAAGTTAAATCTGGTGAGAAGTTTTTGCAGATTTGAGCTTTGATCAGTATGTTATACAGATGCATACTTACATAATGTATTTGCTTTGCAGCTCCTGGTTGCTAAATCCCCTGTTGCTCCATTCTCCACTTTTTTCTACACCATTGAGAAATCAGGCTTGGTTCTTCAAGGTAAGACCAGACCATTGGTTATTTTGCCTTTTCTATTAGTATTTTAAGCAGACTGAATGTAGGTAAAAACAACTATTGTTGAAAATGGTGCTGTTCATACTGAATTAAAGCCCCACACATTTAAACATTCTTGTTAACAAGGGGATTATTCTACTGAATTCACTGTTTTTTCTTGGATTACACTAAATTAGTTCTTGCCTATTGCCATGGATCTTGAAATGGGCCTTGAAATTATTAACCTGGGCTCCTTGTTTTTCTCCAAGGTAAAGTGGAATGGTTTGGGTCCTGTGGGATAGGTTTCTTTAGGATAAACATACCCATCTATCATTAAAACATGCTCTAAAAAATGGTTTTTCTTTAGCAAATGGCTTGGCATCCTTAAAAATGCAGGGAATAAATATCTGTTTTCTATTTTTGTGATAATTTTAATGCTAATGCCCTATGGTCTTAAATTATCCTCAAATTCTCTAGGATATGAAGTGGTATACTGAAAAGCTGGATATTACTACCATGCTGACAGGGAACTAGAATTCCTCCTGGCTGTGTCCTGAATCATGTACTTTTAGACACAGCAAAGAGGGAAGTTAATCTCTTCCCTTCTTTTCCTATTTATCCCAACAAACATCTTACTTTTGACAAACATTCATAGATCAATTTTGTTGAGTTTTCCCATTTCAGAAACAGAGAGAATTTGTTCAGAGACAATCTTAATTTTTCAGCTCTTTTCTGTGAGCCATGAATATAGCTTTCCCAAGACTGAACCATACCTTTAAAGAACAAATAGGCCTAGTTGCAAATAATGATGGAGCAGCATTCTGATAGAAGGATATCACTGGATTAAAAGTGTGGCAATTGCTCTTTTCCCTATACCCATATGTTTCTGGGGTATACATTTAAAACATCATTTGCCATTTTTCTACAAACAGATAAAATAGCAGTTTGGATTTCTTTAAGTAATTGATGTCTTGATATCAGGCATTCTTTGTGCATTTTGAAAGGCAACAAGACCATCTTCTCTGTGTGAGCCCTTGATTAGTTTCTGGCTACATCATTATGTTTCTATTTTTGATATTTATCTCCAAGATGGGTAGCAAGGAAGGGTATGGTTCCCCAGACTCTTTTACAGAGACTTGTAAGCACTTACACGTGAACCATCTCACTGATTTGTAAAAGTAATATTGCATGGTCTCATCCCACATTTCAGTGATCATTATTTCTGTGGAAACGGGAAGTGAGCAAATCATCAGGAAATGTCTGGTTTGGATAAGATGCAGAAAGTGGCACCAGGCTTCTGTGTTCTAGAGAGGCTAGAGTTTTTCTGGAAGTTGTACTTGTTGCTTCTTTCCAAAGGGAAGCTGGATGCAAGGTAAAATGACAGCCAGGCAAGCAGCCACGGGCCAGCCGGTGCCTGCCTGAGGGACACCACAAGGCGCTGACCAGCGGGATCTGTCCCCAGCCTGGCCGCAAAGGCACCTCTCCCATTCAGCCTTTGTAGTTTAATTCCCTTGGTGTCAGGAGGAGAGCACACTGAGGGTGCCTGATGGGAACAAGTGGGTGGATGTGGGAACTGGTGAGAAGCAGCAGCTGGCTGAAGTGCCCAGGATTCTTTCATTTTACTCAGGGGGTCCCATCTCGGGACCATTAACCAATAGGCCATAAACAAATTGATATCGGAAAATGTGGCTGGAAGCTCCCTGATTAGCGAGGGTGAATGGGGAATGAAAGACAAAGTGAAAGTGTGATTTAACAGTTCCACAAGCAATTTCCATTGCCACCTCTGAGGGATTAGGATGTGTGGAATAGGCTAAAAAAAAAAAAAAAAAAAAAAAAAAAAAAAGAGGAGGAGCTCCCCCCCGCTTTGTTCTGTGGGCTGGAGGATAATAAAACGGCAGGAGAGGCAGCGGCTAGTTAGGGATTTCACAGGCTGCTATTTGATGCAGTTTAAGGAGCCCTTCTGCTATTGTTGCAGTTAAAATGGGAAGCGGAACTGTTCTCCATTTGCAAAAATCTCCAGCGTCCTCAGGAAGAGGGCTGAGAGCAAAAGGCTATTAAGATGGTAATGCTGCCCCATTTGGAGGAGTGTATCAAAATCCTCTTTGTCAATGTAAATTGCTGCTCTGTTTCCCTGGTATCTTTGCATCTCATGGCCTCAGTGTAAGCACAGAAATTTTTGGAGGAGACCCTAGTGAAGGCAGAACTGCTTCACTTTTATTGTCAGAGGAGATCTCCAGGCTGCCCAAGGGTCCCTTGGAGAAAACTTCTTTGCTTTTATAAATCTGAAGTGTTCAGGGATTAAGAGAATCCATTTATGCACTCATTCTCTTATTTCCACTTTCAGACTAGAGAAATGAAATGTGATGATTGAAAAGCAAGATTGGACAATCATAAATTTAGCAAAGAAAAGTCTGCAGCCTCCTCCTTTCATTGCTTCAAATTGCTCTGTGCTATAGGGGGGTGGACTGCAACCCTAAAAATACCCTCAGTTGCCTTTACATTGCAATGCAGTGTCATGTTATGTTCTGCCACTGTCACTCTTTGATGAACCTGAATTGTGAGTGTAGAATCCAGTCTGACAGCCAATCTCTATTTTGTAGAGACCTTAGACAAAAAGGCAGAAATCTGGATCAAGCACTGCAAAATATTGGAAGTTTTACTGTCAGCTTGTGTTTGCTGTTCTAAGAACTTGCTGTCGCTTCCCTATTTCAATATATCAGTGGCAGTGAGTGGAGTCATACTGTTAAAAAGAAGAATCCAATTAAAAGAGCTCCAGATATACTTGATTAAGATTAAAAGTTGTAACATTATTTTTCTTCTTGGCTATGAAATAACTTCTGTTTTAATTGGAAGTTGCTAACTGGTAATTCTGTTCTGGTACAACAGAAGAAATTTTGAGCTGCTCTTGCCTAATTGTAGTTTCATTGAAATTGAATGTAGCACTGCTGGGTTAGGCCAGCTGAACTAGAAGATGCTACTTAGCTTTGTACACACATACGCAAAAAAGATAGGCTGAATGAAACTGATTTGAACCTGTATGCTGTGGGTGATCATCCAAGTCTAGCTTTCAAAGCAGGCAGTGTTCTGGGGTATAAATACAAGTAGGCAAGAAGCCTAGCTGTTACCTGCCAACAACTCAGCTGTTTGTGGAAGTCTCATTCCATCTTATTTAAGCAAATGCCTTCTGTTACCAAGAGGATGGTGCTGCAAAAAGAGACAGGGACACGGTGGCTGTTTGCCAGCTGAAGAGTCTTTGGGGACTGAATGCTTTAACTAAGTGATTAACATTGCCTTTCATGGAAAAACTCAGAAGCACTGAAAACATAAGGCAAATTATATTAGTGAGCTAGGATGTGCTTTTGAATAATGATACATTTTCAGTTTCAGTTTCTTCAGTTTAAAGATGGATAGAATTATCAGTTCATCCAAACTGACCTCCCATATATCACACATGTTTCCTTCAGGTACCTGGTTTGCCTCACAGTGTTTTCAAGTTTTAGCTACCTTGCTGCAAAACCCTTGTTCTGTATTTCAGATTAGAATTTGTCTGCCTTCAGCTTTTGTCCTCAGTTCTTGTAATGACCTTCAGTGCTAAAAATAAGCAGTAATACTGTTAAATGGTTGCCATTTTTCATGAGTGTACTTGGCATAATGATTTATCTTGCTATGTTTTACTCTTCCTTTTTGAAAGTATAACTGGCTATAAATTTAACCTCAAAATGTTATGTCTCCTGCTGACTGGCTCCCCTTACTTCTCAAAGAAAGAATAGAATACCTTGTATTGCTAAAGGGAAGAGTTTGGGGGCTGTGCTACAGGACTGGATAGTTAATTTATTAATCCACCCTTTCTGCTGCCCTCTTTTTCACTGCACACAACCTGTCTGAACACAAATGTACTCACCTTGCATGTAGTGTCCTATTGAGGCAGGTAACTTATTATATGTAGAAACAAAAGAATGTGACACTTGGAAGAGAGTGTCTTTTAAGTTTCACAGTAGTAAGGGAAAAGATCTAGTAACAGCTAAATTTAGGGAAACCTTAGTACATTATGTTTCATTTGTCACTAAGGTAATGAAAGAGGCTCATTTTGATCTCAAAATAGCATAGGGTCTGGGTTTGTAGTGCAGTATGGCAAACTGTCTCCAAAGTGCTATAACTAATTTCTATGGCTGAAGCAAGTGAAAAGTGCCTCATTTTATTTTGTAAAGAAACAAGTAGTGAGGTAGAAAAGGAATTCTGAAAGAAAGGGCAGCATTATTTGTATTGTATTGTGTGGGTTTGAACAGTGAAAGACAATGATTTACTGCATCAAAAGGTTTTATTCAATTGAAGAACTGTAACTATAAAGTGACCTTTGTCTGGAGCAACATGGATATAATCTGTAAAATGAAGCAGGGTTGTACGTCATGTGTGAATGGGTGGGAGACAGATTAATGGGAATAGAGTTGTGCATTGCTATTGAGATGGTAAAAGATTTGCAGTGCCACTGGTGATTTCCAGCCCTATTGGAGGGATAAAGATGAACTGATCATTGTTAGAATCTCTGTGGGGTGGAACCGTTTTTGCTGTATTCCCCACAGGACACTGAAAGTCTCTTGCTATTTTTAACAGGTTTGTAATAATGAGAGCAAAGAAGCACTATCAATTTATAGGTTAAGTCCGTCCTGGGAGTAAGGCATGAGAAAAAATAAGACTGCCAGCAACATCACCCACACAGATAAAGCTGACATGAATGAAAATGTTCTTTTGTTCAGACAATTCATGGCATTTTGAGGAGTGGGTTACTAAACCCGGCCCAGGAACGGTGTTTGCTTGGGAGAGGTTGTCCTCACTAGATAGGTTTGTGTGAATTGCTCTACTGCTCTGCAGCAGCACTGCCAAAGCCTTGGTAGAGGAGCCAAACTCCATGGCTGACAAAAGAAGGAGGGCAGAGAAACAGGGCACAGATGCAAAACCAAATAAAATGTTTATTATGAGATGGAAGGAAAACATTTTAATGGTGAAGG